CAAATCAGAAGTATTGACACCAGCATCCTATGCTCATATAAAGGGACTTCTCAGGTTTGCCCTCGAAGTAGGACAGCCTTTCTAGTGGCCTCAAAGAAGCTATATTGTACTCATTTTGGATTCAGGGAGAGTAGTGTATTCCAGTGCAGCCAAATTTTACTTCTTGGATAAAGGAAGAAGTGGCAGGGGTGTTTACAGACGTGAAAAGCTTTCCCCTTGGGTTGCCTGCCTGTCAGCACCCGTTCTTATCCTGAGGGGTTGCCTTTTCTTCCTGTTTCCTGTGTTGTCCCACAGGAGCATACAACATTCAAGGTGATACTTGCCAAAGTAAAGTGCCAATAAGTTCACAATATAAATCCATAATTACGCTTGCAGTGTGGTCATTTGTGACTCCAGAGCTGTCAGTTTCCTCTCCCACCTCACCAGGTGTCCATCCAGTCAGATGATTTGGGGGCCCCAGAGCCTTCCTGAGAACTGGCCCCAGACCTGATTTAGGGATAAAGCTCTGCAGACACCCAGCCTTTATTCCAAAGTCTAGTTCAAGCTATTGAATGTAGGCCAAGGCCCCAACTATCATGGAGATGCTGCCACCTGCCTCGACCAACACCTCCCTTCTTTAGGTGGGGGTTGTGTTGCTAGTGGATCCTGCTTCAGGGCCTGGAACCTTCTCTTTTCCAGTGTGAATACGGAATCTTTCAATTTGGGGATTGAGATTTTTCCATCCCCTCTTGAAATCCTAGTTATTTAGGAGCTCCCAAATGGAGCTTAGTTCTTCTACCTAGAAAATCATCTGAGCATATTCTCAGACCAGACACAGCAAGGTCATATGCCCCCAAATGGCAAGTGGGTGTGTAGCAGGGTAGTAAGGTCGTGCTGCATGGAGTTATGTCTGAACTCTCAGTGATTTACCACAGCAAAGGTCCCCTTCTTCTTTCTTCCTTTAACATGTGAACTCACATTACATGTCCAATGTGGGAAGCAGGGAGTGTGGCAGGCTCTGGTTCATACAGTCATGCAGGGGATTGACAGAAGCTTCATCATCTTGTAGCTGCCTCATCTGGAACTTGTGGCCCTCTTCAGTCCCTGTTGCAAAGAAGAGAAAATGGTAGAGTCACACACTGGCTCTTAAATGCTTTGGCCAATCAATGACACGCATCACTTTTGTTCACAGCCTATTGACCATATGGCCTCAACTAACTGTAAAGGGGCTGAGGAAATGTTGGGGACGTTGTTCTGGGTAGAGAGGGTGTGGAGGAAATGTGCCCAGACATTCAATGAACAATAAAATTCTCTGTACCGTGAGTGAAACTCAGAGCAAGGGTTTCAAAAGAGCCAAGGCCATGAGTTCTTATGTATTGTCTCCACCTGGGCTGGCTGAGGCCAGGGAGACCCAGAGTGCCTGGGATGGCCTGGTGGGAAAAGCTTTGGGAAAGGGTTCCTGCAGACAAACAAGGCCCGTGGAAGGCCCAGGCCCTCCACCCACCAGGCTCTAGGTTTGACTAAACCTCTCTCCTCTTATTCCATTGATCTCTTTAAATTCCAACACCATCCTATCAATTGATTTCTCAGGAGGAGAAGCAGGATTGAGAGTGAGGATTAATTCAGCTTTGGAAGGACAAAATCCAGAGGAGACATCCGGAAACCATTGTGTCTTATTCCATTCAGGCGCTGTAACAAAATCCCATAGACTGGGTGACTTATATACAATAAAAGCTTATTTCTTAAATTTTGGAGGCTGGAAGTCCAAGACCAAGGTTCCAGAAAATTTGGTGTCTAGTGAGGATCTGTTTCCTGGTTTGTAGATGGCCGTCTTTTCATGGTATCCTCATGGTGCAAGGGTTAAGCAATCTCTCTGGCATCTCTTTTATAAGGCCATTAATCCCATTCATGAGGGCTCCAGTCTCATGTCCTAATCACCTCCCCAAATACTACTATTTTGGTGATTAGGTTTCAACATATGAATTTGGGGGGAGGGGCACAATTATTCAGTCTGTGGCATGCTGAATATGATAGCCTCAAGCCCAGGAGAGTACCCTCTCGAGGAGAGAAAGGACTGTAAGTTGTTTGCTTTCTTCCCTGCTTTTATTCCTCAGCAAATGTGGCTGCTATGGACAATATAACATACTGGTTACAACTGCATTCTGTCTCTAGAACATCTGGAATTGAAGCTTGGCTTGGCCCCTTATTAGCTGTGACCTTGAGCTAGTTACTTCTTTTTGCCTTGGTTTTCTCCTCTTTAAAATAGGGATATTGATAGCATCTGTCTCTTGGGTAGCTGTGAAAATTGAGTTAATATTTATAAAGCACTAGAACAATAATAAGGGTTCTATCAATGTTAGCTGTCACCAACACTACTGTTGTCATCATCATCATCACCATTCAGATATTGTTTTAGGTGTTAGGGAGTAGGTGTCAAGGTCCCTGCTCTCATATATAATGGAGGAAAGGAAAATATAAATAATTAAGATGACAATTTTAAATAGTAATGGTACTAAAACAATAAATCGGGCACATGGAAAATTATTCATCCATTAGTCAGTAGGGAAATGCAAATTAATATCACAGTGCATACCACTGCATAGCTATTGCACTGACTTTTACAGAACTGACAACACCAAGTGCTGGTGAGGGTACAGAGCAAATGGAACTGTCATATGTTGCTAGTGGGAATGCAAAATGGTGGAGCCATTTTGGAAAACAGTTTGGCAGTTTCTTATATACTTAAAAATATGCTTACTATGTAACCCAGCAATCCTGCTTAGGTACCCAAGAGAAATAACTTATGTTTACACAAAAACTTGTATATGAATATTTATGGTGGCTTTATTCATAACTGTCAAAAACTGCAAACAACCCAAATGTCCTTCAGCTGGTGAATGGATAAACAATTAAATACCGCTCAGCAATTAAAAAAAAGAATAAGCCCGGCTGGTGTGGCTCAGTGGTTGAGCATTGAGCATCGACTCATGCACACAGAGGTTGCCAGTTCGATTCCCAGTCAGGGCACATGCCCAGGTTGTGGGCCCAATCCCTGGTAAGGGGCATGCAGGAGGCAGCCAGTCGATGTTCTCTCTCATTGATGCTTCTATCTCTCTCTCCCTCTCCCTTCAACTCTCTCTAAAATTATTAAAGAAAAAAAAATCACCAGCACTGAAAAAAAAAAAGGAATAAAATTCTGATAAAATAACCAACACAAGTAAATCTCAAATGCATAATATGGTAAGTAAACAAAGACAGATCAAAAAACTACATATAGATGATTCCATTTATATCACATTCTTAAAAAGGCAAAACTATAGAGAAGAAAACAGATAAGTGGTTGTTAGGGGCTGGGGGTGAGGAGAGTTGACTACAAAGGGACAGCACGTGGAGATTTTTTTAGGGTGATAGAATTGTTCTATATCTCGATCATGGTAGTGGTTGCATGGCTCTATGCAGCTGTCAAAACTCATAGAACTGTGCACTAAAAAGGATAAATTTTACTGTAGGTAAATTATACCTCAATTAACCTTACTGGGGGAAAAAACTCACTGTGGGATTGTTGAGACACAGAAAACCAAATGATGAGTCAGTCAGTCAGGGTGTGTGACACAGGTAAGGAGGGGCTCCTGCACACACTGTAGTAGTTAGGGAAGGCTTTAAAAGGAGGTACTTTTAGCTGAACCTAGGTGAAGAGAGGGAGCCAGACCTATGAGGATCCAGAGGATGGTATGTCAGGCAGAGAGCAGCAAGGTAGCCCATGTGGCTAGAGCTGGGTGCTGGAGGAGGAGAAGGCAGGAAACAGGTCAGGGGCTTCGACTCTTTTCTGGGCATATATAAAGGAAACACTGAAACACTGATGTGGGTGAGATGCCCCAGGGAGGATGGGGGAGGGCAGGACAGAAAACAGCAGCTGTGCCCTGGCCAGTTTGGCTCAGCAGTTAGAGTGTCGGCCTGCGGTCCCGAGAGAACCGGGTTCGGTTCCCGCTAAAGGCATGTACCCTGGTTGCAGTTTGTCCCCGGCCCTGGTTGGGTTGTGTGGGTGGCAGCCACTTGATGTGTCCCTTTCACGTCGATGTTTCTCTCTCTCTCTTCCTCTCTCTCCTTCCCACTGTATCTGAACAAAAAAATGTCCTCGGGTAAGGATTAAAAAAAAAAAAAAGAAAAAGAAACCAGCAGCTGTGACCATGTGTACAAGTGATGGAGGGGTATGATGTCCCAAGGAGAGGGTGGGTCAGGGAGGACTGGAGCAGGAGGACTGGCATAGGCAGGTGGGGTCCTTTGGGACCTTGCTAAGAGTATTGCAGGTAGTGGTGGAGCATAATCTAGATGTTCTGGGTTGAGGGGTGCTGGAAGTGAGGACATGTAAGTGAAGCTGGAAGCAGCAGTAATCTCAGAGACAATGGGGTGGAGTTGCTTATTTGTTTGTAAGAGTATGTGTGTATGTGTATATGTGTGTATGTATTTGAGTAGGTGTGTGTGTATAGGTGTATAGATGTGTATATGTTTATGCATGTGCATGTGTATGTGTGTGTATGTTTTTTTTTTTTTTTTTGGTACGTGCCCCTAGAGGGAACCGAACCCAGGACTCTCTGGTCCACAGGTCGACGCTCCAACTGCTGAGCGAAACCAGCCAGGACATGTGTGTGTTTATGTGTATGCATGCTTAGGTGTGCATGTGTATGTGTTTGTGCATGTATGCACACATATGTATGTGCTTATATATGTTTATGTGTGTGTGCATGCATGTGTGTACATGTTGTGAACACAACTTAAAGAGTGCGCTTGACCTATGGAGGACAGGTTGAGATGGTGAGAAGTGGGAACTTGGACAAGGCCCTGAAGGCTAGGCCATTCAAAGGGGTTGGGGGACATCAGGGAGAATGGTGGGAGGCAGTGTGGAGCCCCACTGGGCTGGGAGACTGGGATCTGTCTTGGGGAACCTGAACTGAGGTGAGCCCATCTGGGGTAGTAGAAGCTCCATTTTTGCCCACACTAATCTTCCTGCTCCTCCCCTACAGTGCATGCTGGGACCACGATGGACAGGCTGCTGCTCCCTGGGCCCCCAGAGGCCGGTCTATTTGTATCCTGGCACCATCTGACTCAGGTAGGGGGAGAGTGAGGCGGCCTCATCTGCTTTATGCCTCTGTACAAGGTGAGATGGCCCTGGGAGTGAGGATGGAACGAGCCCTTGCCAGGGGAAATGGTGTGTGGGGTGTGGGACACAGCAGTCTCCTGGAGAGGAGCTTCTAGACTTCTGAGAAAGCGGGCCACATCAGCAGTCACGCGTCCTCATCAGGCTACCTCCCAGGGCACCATAAGGCTGGCCCCAGGACACATAATTCCTCCAGCATCCATTTGCTCTCACGTGTTCACTGTCTGCAGTTTGTCCAGGACTTTCATGCACATGCCTACTACGTATTTTGGCTGTGAGGTGTTGCCTCTGTGGGGCTCCCCTTGTGGTCACTGACTTTTTTCTGCCAGAGTCACTGTATTCACTTTGTGTGGATACTTCCTTGAGTGATGGCTCTGACTATGGAAGTTCCTGCTCTTTGCAGGACTCCCCCAGGGAAGAGATACTCATTCCAATGCTAGGCACGGCCCAACTCACCTTTCCACTTGGCTTCTCTGCTGTTCCTCAGATGATGGAGTGCAGGCTGGGCTTGCCAGAAAAAATACAGAATGTCCAGTTAAATTGGAACTTCAGACAGATAACTGTGTTTTGTTTTTTTGGGGGAACAAGTATATCCCAAATACTGCATGGGACATACAATTTAATTAGCTAAATCTGGCAACCCTAGTGAGGGCTGATGCCCCACTCCCTATCCTCCTCTGGTCAGTCTCCCTGCTGGGCCCACCTTGGTCCCCTCGGATCCATGGCCTCCAGTACCTATGACAGGTGTCCTGGAGCCAGGAGTGGCCAAGCTGGCTCCGGCCACAGTGAGTGTCCATGTCCTTATTTCTCAGTCCCACAAGCCATTCCTGCTGGAGGCTGGGGTTGAGAGTGATCTCAGGGTCCTATCTTCCCCTGTCTGGCCCTTAGCAGAGTCCAGTCTGAGGAGGTCGTGAGACAGGTTCAGCTGGGCCTTTGTACCTGTGAACAGAGATGTGAGATGGGCCTGTAGCTGTGAAAGAACCCAGGAATAGAAAATTATTTCATGAGCTTAGAACCCAGAGTGGCCAAAATGGCGGCAGAGTGAGCGGAAGCTACACAGACCTTTTCCCAGAACCAAACTGGAATTACAACTATAACACAGACAAATCGACGGGAAAAAGCAACAGAAAAGCATCTTGCGAGGACCATATAACCAGGAACACTGACTTGATCCTGGTAGGATTGGGAGAGTGTAAGAGGGGGGATGGGAGCCCACAGACAGCAGTGGCCTTAGCTGTGAGCAACGCCCTCAGGTTAAAGTCCCAAGCGGCTCCACAGCACAGAGCCGGGACAGAGGCTAAAAAAGCAACAGCCACTCACCTTGGGCTCCAACAAAGGGAGGGCAGACTGGACTGGAATGGTGTGGGGACACTCAGGATTGGAGGGTGCTCAGAGTTTTTGCTGAGTTGAGGCCACACAGGATGGTGGCTATCTTGCTCCTTCCCAGGGCTCTGGGGAGAGGCAGCAGCCCCTCCCTCAGAGATTCAACCCCACCCAGTGGGCCATTGAAAAGCTAATTGAGGCTCACTAGCATCTGCCCCTCCCTCGGGAAATCCCCTCATGCTGAGCACCTGAGGGAGTTTTTCAATCAACTGACAACCCAAAACTCTTCAAGTAACCTCAACTGCTAGGCTCCAGGCAAAAAGCTAGAGGATAACAGTACCTACCCTGGGCTAGCAAAGTTAACCAGGAAATTAAGACTTTACAGTGGTATTTAATGTGGGTCCTCCCTCACTCATCCAAACCCAGGAGAGGGAGCCAAAAACAGCAGAACACCAACACTCACAGGGAAAACCTGACAGGCTCCAAAGCCCACTGTGATAGCCAAAATGGTGAAACACAGAAACAAAAGCCAAATGAAAGAACAAGAGACCTCCACCAAAGATGAGATCAATGTGGAGCAGTTAGGCAAGTTAACAGAGCTAGAATTCAGAGCCATGATCTTCAGCACGAGTAAGGAAATAGAGATGCTCAACAGCATGAGTAAGGACATAGAGATGCTGAAAATAAACCAATTGGAAATTAAAAAGCACCAAGAAGAGATCAAAAATGACATATCAGAAATAAAGAACACATTGGAAGGTCTAAAAAGCAGAGTAGAGGAAGCTGAGGACTGGATCAGTGAATTAGAAGACAGGGTAGAAAAAATCAACCAATCAGAAAACCAAAAGGAAAAAAACGATTTAAAAACAGGAAGACAGCCTAAGAGAACTGTGGGACAACTGGAAATCTAACAATATTCGCATCATAGGAGTCCCCGTAGAAGAAGAAAATGAGCAAGGGTTTAGAGAATATATTCAAAGAAATAGTGACAGAAAACTTCCCTAATTTGCTGAAGGAAGAAGGCATTCAAGTTCAAGAAGCACAGAGAGCCCCAAGTAAAAAGAACCCAAACAGGCCCACACCAAGACACATAGTAATTAAAATGCCAAAAATTAAAGACAAAGAGAGAATCCTAAAAGCAGCAAGAGATAAGCAACAGGTTACCTACAAAGGAAACCCCATTAGGCTCTCAGCTGACTACTCACAAGAAACACTACAGGCCAGAAGGGAATGGCATGAAGTAATCAAGGTCATGAAAAATAAGGAACTGAATCCAAGACTACTCTACTCAGCAAGGCTATCATTCAAAATAGAAGGTCAAATAAAGAACTTCCCAGACAAAAAAAAGGCAAGGGAATACATTAGCACCAAACCAGCACTGCAAGAAATACTAAAAGGACTGCTGTAATTAGTAGAAGGAATAGGAAGAAAAATAGAACCACACTAAACAAAAATGGCAATAAATAAGTACATATCAATAATCACCTTAAATGTAAATGGATTGAATGCTCTGATAAAAAGACACAGAGTAGCCGATTAGATAAGAAAGCATGACTCATCTATGTTATCTACAAGAGACCCACCTCACAACAGAAGACTCACATAGGTTGAAAGTGAAGGGATGGGAAAAAATCTTCCAAGCAAACGGAAAGCAAAAAAAAAAAAAGCTGGGGTAGCAATACTCATGTGATGAAATAGATTTCAAAATGAAGACCATAACTAGAGACAAAGAAGGCCACTACATAATATTAAAAGGGTCTATCCAACAGGAAGATATAACCTTGATAAACATATATGCACCCAATATAGGAGCAACAAAATATGTTAAAAATCTTCTGGAGGACTTCAAAGGAGAAAGCGACAGCAATATAATCATATCAGGGGACTTCAACACCCCATTGACACCACTGGATAGATCCTCTGGACAAAAAATTAGCAAGGAAACAGAGACTCTAAATGAAGCACTAGACCAAATGGATTTAATAGACATCTACAGAGAATTACACCCCAAAACTACAGAATTCACATTCTTCTCCAGTGCACATGGGACATTCTCAAAGATAGACCACATGATAGGACACGAACTAAATCTCTACAAGTTCAAGAAGACTGAAATCATATCAAGCATCTTCTCAGATCACAATGGCATGAAACTAGAAATCAATTGTAACAAGAACATGCAAAGACATTTGAACACATGGAGGCTAAATAGCATGTTATTAAACAATGAATGGGTTACCGAGAAGATCAAGGAAGAAATTAAAAACTTCCTGAAAACCAATGAAAATGAACATACGCCCTGGCCGGTTTGGCTCAGCGGTTAGAGCGTCAGCCTGCGGTCCACAGAGACCCAGGTTCGGTTCCCGCTAAGGACATGTACCTTGGCTGCAGTTTGTCCCTGGCCCTGGTTGGGTCGTGTGGGTGGCGGCCACTCGATGTGTCCCTTTCACATCGATGTTTCTCTCTCTTCCTCTCTCTCCTTCCCGCTCTATCTGAGTAAAAAATGGAAAAATGTCCTCGGGTGAGGATAAAAAAAAAAAAAGAAAGAAAATGAACATACAACAACACAAAATATATGGGATACAGCAAAAGCAGTTCTGAGAGGGAAGTTCATAGCACTATAGGCCTACCTCAATAAACAAGAAAAATTTCTATTGACTGTCTATCCTCACAACTTAAAGAACAAGAGAGCAAACAAAAAGAAAACCCCAGAGCAAGTAGAAAGAAGGAAATAGTAAAGATCAGAGCAGAAATATGACATAGAGACCAAAAAATAAATAAATAAATAAAACTATTCAAAGGATCAATGAAACAAAGACCTGGTTTTTTGAAAAGATAAACAAGATTGATGGACCCTTAGCTAGACACACCAAGAAACAAAAGAACCCAAATACACAAAATCAGAAATGAAAGAGGAGAAGTAACAACCAACACCACAGAAATACAAAACATTGTTAACAGCTACTATGAACAACTATATGGCAACAAATTTGACAATCTAAGCGAAATGGACAAATTTCTAGAAACACACAGCCTTCCAAAACTGGATCGGGAAGAGATAGAAAACTTGAACAGACCAATAACAACTAAGGAAATTGAAGAGGTCATCAAGACTCTCCCAGCAAACAAAAGCCCAGGCCCAAATGGCTTCATGAGGAGGTTTTACTGAACATTCAAAAAAGAACTAACACCCATTCTCCTCAAACTATTTCAAAAAATTCAAGAAGAAGGAAGACTTCCAAACTCGTTTTATGAGGCCAGCATAATTCTAATTCCAAAACCAGAAAAAGACATTACAAAGACAGAAAACTACAGGCCAATATCCCTGATGAACATAGACGCCAAAATCCTGAACAAAATACTAGCAAATCGAATCCAGCAATACATCAAAAAAATTATTTACCATGACCAAGTGGGATTCATCCCAGAGATGCAAGTCTGGTACAATAGTCGCAAATCAATAAATGTGATACACCACATAAATAAAATGAAGACTAAAAACCACATGATCATATCAATAGACGCTGAAAAAGCATTCGACAAAATCCAGCATTCATTTCTGATAAAAACGCTCAGCAATGTGGGAATAGAGGGATCATATCTCGACATAATAAAGGCCATATATGAAA